CCCCGCCCCACTGCTGCACTAGGATGTCAGCGGATTCCGGAAATGATGGCAGACTCTCCTTTGCTCCCTGGGAGTCCTGCCCGCTGGGCTGGGGGTGCGGGGCTGGGGCCGCCCGCCCAGGGCTCGGCAGCTTTCATTTTTGAGCGGGGCTTACCCTCGCCAGGAGGAGGATGTCCCGGTCTTCCCGGGAGTTCAGGGGCCCGTTCCCTGGGCCGTGATATCTGAGGGCACACCCAGGACCCCAGTAGGAGAGCCCAGACTGTCAGCCTTGGAGAAGCTGGGCAGGTGGGGTGACCCTCATCCTCATGGAAGGGCAGTGTCCCGAAATGCTGGCAGGAGAGAGGAGTCCCAGGCCGCTGCACCAACCTCAAGTGAAAGATTGAAGGGCCCACCCACCATCCTATGTAATAAAAGGCTAATATGGAAATCGTCCCCTCCACTGGGAGTTCCACCAGAGTTCGACCTGGGGTGGGGCTGGCCTGCAACAGCCGGCACCCCCACCCCCACAGCTGGCCCTGTGTCTGATCGCCACTCCCATCCAGATCGGGTTTGGGTCATCCCACCAACTTCCCATGGCCTGCCAGGGCCTCTATTGCCAGCGGGCCCCATCCCCAATTGCCACCCCTCACCCTGATAGGGAGTGAGGCTAGCCAGCCAACCTCCCGTGGCCCCTCCCCCCAGGGAGCCCAGCCTGATCCGGGGTCAGGCTGGCCAGATCCCACCCATGCACAGATTCATGCACAGGGCTTCTAGTTGAATAAGATAAGAATCCTGAGCCCCACCTTTTCATTGGGCTCAGGGTAGGCCTGCCTGGCTGAGACTCACCTTCACTTATTTCCATCCAATGTAACAGAAAAGAGGTCTTCAGTGAAGGTGCAGCCACCAGTCAGCAGAAGGGCGGTATACCAGCCACTGCCTGGAGACCAGGTAAATACCCTGCATGAGTACTCAAGGACCCAAGCAGCCCATGATGGAGAGGGCTCCACATAACTGTCACTTGGGTGTCCCCCAACAGGCATTGAATAAGATAGAATCCTGAGCTGAATCCCAACTTTGCATTCAGCACCTGAAGGCTGAGGGTAGGCCTGCTAAGCTGAGACCCACTCTCATTATTTCCATCCAATATAAGAGAAAAGAAGTCTTTAGTGTGAGGGTGCAGCCACCAGTCAGCAGAAGGGAGGTATGTATACCAGGCACTACCTGGAGACCAGGCAAATACCCTGCAGGGTTCCACATAACTGTCACTTGGGTGTCCCCCAACAGGCATAGGATCTAAGGAACTTTTCACTGTTTCCTTTGGGTCTCAGAGCTGCTAGCTTTGGTTTGAGGTGTCAATTTCACAGCAGCAGAATAGAGGGGGGCCAGGACCTGCCAATATTTCACATGATGATTCTGGTAGTTAACTGAGAAGAATCCGACACCATAGAACACAGGTTCCTCACTGGAAATCCCACTGCTGTCAGCCCTGTACCACCTCAGAAGGGCTGCCAGGATGTAGTCTAAGGTTCCCTGCAAGGGTCTCTCTAGGTTTCTCAAGGAACAGATTGATCAGAACGGAAGCACTGTGGGTTGCTAGAGCAATTCGGTCCAGGAAACCTGAAGAGGCAGCCTTAGCTAAAGCCAAGGTAGAATCGATCTCACCACTGACTGAAGGCACTCACACGATCTTCTTATCCTTTATCCAGGTGCCCTATTTCCTGATTTCCTGTCCAGACTCCTGCCTGCTGTCCCTGACCATAGTGACATCATGCCTCGGCGTCACAAAAACAAGAAACGCCATCATGCCCGAAGTGAGCCTCAGAGTCATGGCAATGCTCAGGCCACTGCAGAAGCAGGAGAGGAGTCCACTCCCTCTTTCTCTACTCAGCATGAAGGTATTAGCCAGGGTCTGCCTATGGCTGGGTCACGTAACACTTCCCAGGGCCCTCAAAGAGCACAAACCACCACCACTGCTTCTGTAGCTGTTTCTTGCCCTGGGTCTGATGAAGCTTTCAGCAGCCAAGAGGAGGATGAGGCTGTCTCCTCTGAGATCCCACTCTTCACTGAGGTCTCAGACGTGGATGATTTCCAAACCAGGATTGTGTCTTTGGAGCAATTCATTCTGAGCAGGTATAAATTGAAAAAGCCCATTTTGAAGGCTGATATGCTGCATATTGTCGGGGAAGATTACCAAGACCGATTTGCTGAGATGCTCAAGAAAGTTTCTGAGCAAATTGAAACCTTCTTTGCATTAGACATGAATGAAGTGGACTCAATCAGACACTCCTACGCCCTTGTCAGCAAACTAAAACTCCCCAATAATGGGAGGGTGCGTCCTGGCAAGGGGTTCCCCAAGACCGGTCTCCTGATGCATATCCTGGGTATGATCTTCATGAATGGCAACTGCGTCTCTGAGGAAGAGATCTGGAGAGATCTGCGTCTAATGCATGTGTACCCTCGGAGGAAGCACTTCATCTTTGGGGAGCCCAGGAAGCTCATCACCGATTTTGTGAGGCTGGAGTACCTGGAGTGCCGCCAGGTGCCCCACAGTGATCCTCCACGTTCTGAGTTCCTGTGGGGTCCAAAAGCACACCTTGAAACCAGCAAGTTGAAAGTGCTGGAGTTTTGGGCAAAGGTCAATGGTACTCACCCCAGTGCCTTCCCATACTGTTATCAGGAGGCTTTGCAAGATGAGAAAGAGAGAGCCCAAGCCAGAGATGCAGCCAGGGCTGCCACTACTGCCCAAGTCACTGCACTTTCCAGGGCCATGGCCAGCACAACCTTTCTACCTGTAGAGGAATCTAAAGCTTTTCATCCTTCAGACCAGAATATATGACATCTCAATAGGGATAGTATTCTTGAAAGTGTAAAAGGATCCCGAGTCTAGTTATTGGGATAATGGAATAGAAAACAAAAAGCATGCTTATTCTTAGTTCTCCTTGTTCCTTTTAATTTCCATATTTGTAAAATTAACTGAGTTATACTTTTATGTTTTTAGTTTATTCACTAAGTAGGATAAATTAAATCTTTATAAATTAGATCTTGTATTTGCTGGCTCTTTTATCCACCACACACTGAGTCTGCTGCTGGGGAGTCTCAGTGTTAGGACCGGGGCTGCTAAAGGAAATGCAGCCTCCTCTCATATAATTTTATCACCTGCAAGTTGCACTCATAGGAGGAAGGTGTTGAAGCACCCCGTAGGACCTAGAGGTAAAGTAAAAAGAATGGGAAAGGAAGAGGGTGTTCCTCATGAGAGCAGTTAGGCAGAAAGTTCTTGAGCAAGAAACTGGGAATTTTGGCAACTGTATGTCCTTAGTGGGTTGTAATTTTCATTTATGGTATGTGGTGGGCAAATGGAGGTTGTGGAAATGGTGAGCAGAGGCCAGGCCCTCCTATGTTGTGCTTGAGAATTGGGGGGGAAAGTATGGGTTAGTCTGCTCTAACAAAATATCACAGCCTGGGTGGCTTAAACAACATTTTCACAGTTCTGTGGCCTGGGAAATACATAATGTCCCAATGGATTCGGTTTCCAGTGAGAGCTCTCTTATTTGCTTGCAGATGGTCTCCTTCTCTCAGTGCCCTGGCCAGGTAGAAAGAGGTTTTTTTGTTTGTTTGTTTTGTTTTGTTTTTCTCTCTTGTGCTTCTTAGAAGAACACTAATGGCATCCTGGCCACCCCATCCTCATGACATCAACTAAACCTAAGTACCTACCAAAATTTCAACTCCAAACACCATTAAACTTGGGGTTAGGGCCTCAACATTTGAATTGGGGTAAGGGGTGCAGGGGGCTGTCTCTAAATGACAACTGCTGCTACAGGTTACTTTGGCATTGTGGGTAAACCAGAGAGAACTCTCCACCTGGGTCAGGATAGGATGATACCCTTTGTTCTTGTCATAGGGCAGGTGGACACAATGTGCCAACTAGGTGTTCTATGCTCATCATCTCCAGGCAGTTGCTGAGAAATAGAGATGACATTCCCTTGAGGTGAGATGCCAAGGAGTCACTGTGATGAGACACTTTACCTTCAGTTGGAAAAGCCAGAACCTGCTCCCTTAAAAGGGTATTTCACTTGGCTTATCTTGAGGGAGTTTGGGAAACTCTAAGTGAGAGCTAGCTTTGGTCCAGGGTGTAATGAAGGTAAACAGAGCTGGTGTGGATGGAAGGGCACCTGAGAGGGATGGAAGGACTTGTACCTTGGCATCAGTTCTAGAAGCTTTTGGTACATACGGCTGGGGAAGGCAACTGCTCACCCGAATTAAATGACAGGCACTCTAATGTGGAAATTTTACTTAGTTGCCTTAGGTAGGACCATTTTTTGGTTCACTGAGTGTTCTTTGTCTGAGATAATTACATCTTCTATGACATCTCCTGGACTCAAAAATATTCTAAGCAAAGTGGGTGGTATCATCTGGGATAAAAATTATATCATCAACTGCAATTTAAAAAATGTAGGGCAGCCCTGGCCGATTTGTCTCAGTGGATAGATTGTCGGCCTGCGGACCAAAGGGTACTGGGTTTGATTCTGGTCAACTTTGGTTGTAGGCTCCTCCCCAGCCCTGGTCCTCGTCGGGGCAAATGCAGTAGGCAACCAATCAATGTGTCTTTCTCACATCGCTGTTTCTCTCTGCCTTTCACCCTCTTCCAATCTCCCTAAAAATCAATGGTAAAATATCATCGGTTGAGGATTAAAAGCGGGGGGAAGGTCAAGGGGGAAAAAAAAGGAGACATATGTACTACTCTTTGTAATACTTTAAGCAATAAAACAA